TAAAGTCTGTTTAGTCATTCTTACATGAAAATTATTTTCTCACATGTGAGGGCATAAGGTTGAAGACAAAAGGCCAACTGAGCTACTGTTATGAAGGATCCTAAAAACTACAACAAACAAAGACTTGAAAGTAAGGACTCTTCTATGGGCTTTTTACGTGTGTGCAAGCAACGAGAGTGTCCAGATAGACTCTATGCAGCAAGCTGACCAAAAGTATTCAAGGAACCTATTTCATTGGCTCCTGAGTCATCTGGAACTCTTGAGAGCACAGCCTGGAACATACAGGACAGGCTTTCTCTGTGACATGTGTGCTACCCCTCCACACTGACACCCGCCCCCACCCCACCCCCAGCTTAGAAAAACAGGTCTTAGTCTTCTCAACCAGTATCCCAATAAACCACTGTCACCTACCTTTCTGTTGCGGGTGACCCTGCTCGGACACCCCTTGGGGGAAGGCGTGAGAAGATGCAGCACCAACGACTCAGGCACCGGAAGTCAGAGTAACAGAGCAGGCTGCAGACTCAGTTATTAAGGAAGTTAGACCTGACTTTATACTCCCTCCTTAGGTCCAAATGGCTCAGGCGGCTGACTCTACTGCGTTGTCCTTTCTTCATTGGTGTCTGTAGTTCAGGTGTCTCTCTGTCTGCAGCCTCTGGGCATAGAGGCAGGCTTGGCTCAGGGAGGAAGTACCTGCTGCGCATGCTCATGCAGGCTGGCCTGGGTGGGGAAGGCGGCTTGGGTAGGCTGACAGCAGTTTCTCTTTCACCTATCAATTTTAAACGCACATCTGTACCTGCACATTGTTGTGCTTAATGTGTCTATGTTAATGCATGATTTTTAAAAGATGACCAGTTTGTACATTGTATCACATTAACGTATTTCATACAATCAGCACAGCGTTATAATTTTTTTGGTCTACGACCTTTATCTTCAGTCACCTCAAGTCAATCACCTATAGTGCTGTGTGAAGGCTTGGGGAAAATAGTAGTTCCTTGGTTATAGAGACCAGAGCTTAAGTGTGAGACTTTCTCCCTAAGAGTTTGGGACATTGGAAGCTTAAAGCAGTGTTTTGCGTGTGAAATGTCTGTCTCCATCCCTTCATTAAATCACCACTGGGAGTACTAACCTGGAAGAGTCTGGGAACCCCAGACTTATTAAGTAGGAAGGTAAACACATAAATAGCTATAGGAAAACACCGGGGCATACATGAGAGATGGGAAATTAAGTTAATCAGCTACGAGGCCTCTCATAAATATTTGAGTGTATTGATTAGGATCCCTGGCAAGGGGGCAGGCAGGTGCTACATACGACAGGGTGGACAGGTGCCTCCATTCACGTTACTGAAAAGTTACAAGCTGGAGCGGGTGTTCCATGTCTAGACGCACACAACATGGAGCTATGGTTAGTTTGCTGCAGTACAGGCACTGATTACAGGTAAATCTGAGATAGGCAAGTTAGAAGCCCCTCTTACACTGAGGAGGAGATACAGAGATGAGAGCCTGGGGAAGCATGTTAAAGCTGTGCCGTTAGTATTCAGGCATCTGTACCGGTCTGTCCTTGGGGTTCAGACAGGATACACCCTCAGCTGCAGCCACTAAGGGCATCACCTGTGCATATTCCCTTTTTAAAGGGCCCTGCCCATCCTCTTTCTCTCTCTTTTCTCTCCCTCCCTCCCTCCTTCTCTCTCTCTCTCTCTCTCTCTCTCTCTCTCTCTCTCTCTCTCTCTCTCTCTGTGCATCTCTTTTCTCTTTTCCACTGCTGTTGTCCCAGGAGGCCAGTTTCTCCCCTCCCCTTTCCCTTTTTACAGTCCTTTTCCCTTAACAAAAAAATAAACCCTCTTCTTGAACTGTGTTACATGGTGTCTTTCTCTCTTGAGCCACTTTTTAAAATTACAACAGTTATAGCCTGAGCTAAATGGAAAGGGACATGGACCAATCACAGACCTCAGCTTCCTTGGTTCACAGATAGGGTACTTATAGTCATACGTTCAGGAAGCTCCACTATTAGCCAGTGGTATAGTCACACACCTTAGAAGATATAAGCTAATATTGCCTCCATTATACCCTGAGGATTTGCAGAAAGGTTAAGAAGAAACCATAAAACTGACAACCTGGGCATTTGCTTCCAAAATTGCCGTGTATTACAGAAAGAGAAGATTTAAGGAGTTAGATTTGGTTTTCTTGACTTGTACTGAAAGAAAGGTTTCCCCAGGCCCAGTGGTACAAACCTACAATCCCAGTTTACTCTGGAAGCAAGAGAATCATGAGAATGATGCCTTCCTGGCCTGCGGTGAGTGTGTTATATACTTTTCTTTTCTACTGCCATGATAAAACATCATGGTCAAGGCAACATGTATAGAAGAAAGAGCTTGTCTGAGGTTATGGTTCCAGAAGGATAAATCCACCATGACAGGGAGGCTTGGCAGCAAACGCAGACACGGCAGCCAGTACACAAGGCTGAGAGGTCACATTCTCCATTATAAACGTGAAAGAGGGAGTGCAAGCTGGAAGTAGACAAGGCTTTTTACTCTCAAAGTTTACCCTCAGTGATGTAATTCTAACAAGACAACACCTCCTAAACCTCCAACAAACAGCGCCACCAACCAGGAGACAAACATTCAAACGCCTGAGCCCATGGGGAGGTTTCTCCTTCAAAACACCACAGTGAGATCAAGGACAGGCTGGGAAAGCTGGAGATGCCTTGTCTCAAAATAAACATTGAAAAGAGGGCCAAGTTTGCAGCAGAGTAATACAATATTTCCCCACTATGTTCAAATACTAGGTTCGATCCTTGACTCCACAATAACTATCTTTAATTCATTTTTATCATTCATATATATATGAGTATCTTGCCTGCGTATAATGTTCAGTGCATGAATGCAACATCAGTGGAGGCAAGACTCAGGAATTGGATTCCCTGTAACTGCAGTTACAGAAGGTTTTAGTTGTCATGAGATTGCTAGGAATCAAACCCAGGTCCTTTGCAAGAGCAATAAGTGCTGTCAACCTCAGAGCCATCTCTCCAGCCCCCTTGGTTGCACAATAAAGAACAGTTTGCTACTGATGAACTGTGGGTAAACTAATTACATTCTCTTGCATGTTTAAAATGTGTTCACATTCATTATATTACAGACCTCTAAGATACAAGCAGTGCAGGAAACATATGACTGAAACCTTATCAAAAACATTGAAAATCCCCCCAATTGCTTAATTCCTAACCAAATGTAAACATGCGTGCTTATTGTTTAAGTTGTAAAACCACACGTAACCCTGGAGAAAGTTTTTAAAGTATGCTGTGTTATTGCTGGCCTTTGAGACATTCTTGAGTGTTAAAAGTTTTAATTATTCCTAGACATTGTCTTTTCACTGAGCTTATCTGGTACTGATGTAGCTATTTTGATGCACTATAAATCTTTATCATCTTGCAAAAGTAACAATTTCCTAAATTCATTTCAAAATGAATTTATTTTACATGCATTCTTTCACAAATGATTTGAAAGTCGCATTTTTATTGTTTGTTCTTTGACATTTGGACAACATTTGACAAAAGTTTCATTTATATAAATATTCTCTCCACCATATCCCCTCTAATCTTGCTTTCAACCATAATACACACACACACACACACACACACACACACACACACACACACACACACACACTACCTTACCAGTGGCTTCCTAAGATTAATAAATTTCACTTTCTTCATGAGCCATTTATTTTTATAGTAGACATCTGCTTTAACCTATGGATTGGAACTATCAATGGAACCATATTCTAGGTAAGACAGCCATTTCAATTACGAAGTCACAGCTTTGGATGTCTGCACTAGGTCTGCATATTGTGGGCTACCAGCAGATAGATATGCACAGAAAAAGGGCTCAAGAAACCTTATGCTTCACTACTGAACTACTCGTCACTGATAGATTTGAGGAGGGTTGTTGCCTTCATTTCCACGATTTTAAAGGAATAATAAGGCTGCATGCCATTATGAAAATAAAACACCATCGATTGTTTACTAAATTACAACTGCAGATAAATTTGATCAAACAAAAATGAGAAAAGATGTGACAAACTTGTAATGCTTTGACTCCCGCGCCCCCATTCCTACTCTTAGATTTCCGGGAAATCTGTTTGTGGGAGAACTGTGAGGCCATTTCTAAAACTGAGATGTCAATCAGATGCAATGGTGAGGGAAGCCATATGGCTTTTCTGTATTTCCCATGTTGGAAGAATGACAAATTGTACATTCAGTCACGGCCATTACAATTTCTCCACTGTGTAGAAAAAAATATGCACCTCAGTTTTCGTTCTGTCTTTCTTTCTTTCTTTATCTCTTCCTTCCTTCCTTTCTTTTTTCTTTTTAAATCAAGAAGATTAGTATGAGCTGACCATGGTTGCTCATTCCTGAAACTCTAGCATTTGGGACACTGAGGCAGGAGGGGTACTATGACTTGGAAATCAACCTGGACTACAGTGTGAGGTGTTGTCTCAAAACGGTACCTAAAGCTGCAGGAACGTTTTGAAAACAGGAGTAGAAGGATTGAGAGGTTAAGTAGATCACAGAGCTTGCGGTGAAACCGTGCCTCCTAGTAACTTAAGAGGCTACACTCCACGTCATGACTGCTTGAACATGAGGTAAATAAGGACACCAATAGAGAGACCCAAGTGGACAGGAGAGAGACCACAAGGCATCAACAAATCACAAAGAAGTGCAGCCAACTAAGGAATGCTGCAAGCAGACAAATTGTTTATCTAATACCAAAGGGTCAACCATGAAAACATACATACAAGTAACATTATATAAACAAAGCAGGTTACATTTACAAATCTACGCACATATACAGATACATACATGCATGTAACAATAATTAATAAAATAAGAGGCCATGATTTTGAAAAAGAACAAGTGGCATTTGGGAAGGTTTGAGGGAGGAAAAATACAGGGTAGGTAATTATATAATTATAATCACAAAAAATAATAATTAAACATGACCAAAACCATATTTCCATTCTTTATTACCATAAAAAGTCACAAAAAATTATGGGACACAGAGCTGAGGGTAAAAAGCAGTGGCTGAGTGTACAGACAACTGAGGTCATTGCATTTCTGTGCAATGAACTTAACAAAGTATTTCATTAAACAAGCGTTCGATGTGCTGAAAATAAGATAGTGATGTTACACACTAGAATAACTTGTTCCAAGTAGCGTCGTATTTTCGTATCCAGTCAACAAAAGCATTTAGGTATGGATTTTGGCATAGGCACCTAAAAGGCTACTTTAAATTTTTATTTAAATACATCATGTTCAAATTCTGTGAAGATGTTACCTGAGGGAGCTCTCAACCACAACAAACACCCATTTATGAAAAAAAAAGAATTTCATTTCTCTTTATGTGTCCCCATGTACCCCTGCTTTCTGTTCTTATGCTGCTTCTGATGTCCTACTAAGCTCTTGCATGAAGTAATGACAATGTGATCTCCTTGGTGTTTACAGGAAATGTCACTGCTTTGCTCCTTTCTCATGCCTGTGTTGCAAGTGCTTATAGTGATAACATACTATGTGTGTGAAAACAAATGCACGATACACGAATATGCACACACATAGTATTTATAACTCTAAACTCAGATTATAGAAATAAATCCCTAAGAATAATGGCCAGTTGGTAAACTGTTCAACTTTGAGTAGATTGTGCGGAAACAAAAGAAACACAGTGTAAGAAAATCTTCACAGTGTAAGAGGGTGCAAAGGTTTTCTTATAATTCCTGGGTGAGATTTTAACGTTGCAGACTTCCTTGATGATGAGATAAAGCACTGGATGGAACAAGGGATAGTCTACCTGAAATTTTACTGTTAATATCAATAAACGACATAATTCAATGAGAAGGGCAGTGTTTAAGGATGATTGATTCTTTCAACGTATGGGAATTCAATAACGCTGAATAAAAAGATTTTTTTCTAACGTAACATTTTTATTGATTAGTTGGAAATTTCCCATTGTGCATCCCAATTACACTCATGTCCCAGTCACCTCATGTCTGTCTCCTACCCTTATGAACTCCACCCATCCCCCCACCCAAAAAGAAAAAGAAAGAAATCTCCAGTTTGTGTTACCCATATACTCACCGGAGTAGGGCCAAACTCCCAGGAGATCTCTTGAGTTTGAGGCCAGCCTGGTGCACAGAGCAAGTTCTAGAACATCCAGAAGGACACAGAGAAACCCTGTTTCAAAAAAAAAAAAGAAAAAGAATTAGGAGGAAGAGGAAGGAGGGGGAGGAGGAGAAGAGGAAGAGGAAGAAGAGAAGGAGGAGAAAGAGGAAGAGGAGGAGGAGGAAGAAGAGATTTTAATTGTAATATTCAAGTTCAATGTTGGGTTTGATTAACAGCTCATGAGTATGAGGGGCAGAGCACTTGGGTTGCTCTTGCACCACTGCTTCTAAATCTTGTTTATAAACGTTATAAACATTTAATTTAAGCGTAATTGCAGGAGTTAATCAGTGAACAGTAAGTGCCGACTCAACACGTTCTAGATAATCCAGGAAAATTTGATGTATGCCTTTTGAAGATCATAGTGGCATAATGAAAATCATAAAACAGACAATCAGGCATTACAACTAGCATGCTTAGAGAACTGTGAAGTTAACAGACCCTATTTTGGCCATTGTGTATATGACGTAGCCAATGTCTTAATTATTTAGAGCGTAAAAGTAAATATTTCCTCTTTAAATTATTTGTAAAGAGATTCCAGGTGACTCCTGTATATTAAGGTGCTATTTTATAGCAATCCTTTCCAAACAATGTAGACTTTAAATTGAATGAACATAGTCAAATCTATGTCTTCAATCTATGTGACACATTGGGAAATTGTTTTAATGATCTCCTCTTTCTTTTATATCTGTAATATAGTGATATTATCTGTTCTGAAAGGCTCCATGGCATATAAATGATATAAAATAAGATTGTGAAGTCCTTAGTGTGATGCTTATCACATAGCGAATACTGAGTGCAGTATGGGGGATGGATATCAGAAAAAAACATTTCTTTCTGGGTACACAGGTGGTTTTAGAGAGATGAAAGGGATGATAAAAATGATGTAATAATATAATCAAAAAATGAATTTTAAAAAGTATCATTAAACCAAGAGGAATGGAACTGCAGGAAACATATCTCATTTAATTTTAAAACGATTGCATAAAGTACAATCGTTGCTCCTGTTCCACAGATGAAGAAAATGAGGCAACTTGATAAGGTTATACAGCCAATAGAAGAGAGAATATGAATTAAACACATGAAGGTAGTAGCTATTCGTTTCATGATATTCTTGTCATCACCACCATTGTCGTGCATGCTGCTATGTATGTCTGTAGCAGACTAGGCTATAAAAATGAGCTCTTGGGTGCTTCCAAAGACAATTGCCTCCCCTTGGAAGGAATCCAGAACAAGCCCACATTAAGCTAAATTCTGCATTAGAGTGGGCTGTCATACAGTTGGGAGGATTTATTCCAAGCACCTAGAAGGCATATGAAAGATGAATGCACAGAAGTCATTAGATCCCCCAACCCCCCAACATATCCCAGTGCTGTGAGGAGAAAGGGAACAGAAACATCTTATCCATACACAAAGGCATTGTTAAATGTCCACATAATCGATTTATCTAGTTGTCAACCCCTGAGAAATCAAACTCTGGGCAAAGTGATTCAGGCAATGAATGAAATGCCATCTCCTTTGCTAAGGAATAATAAAACTTATGAGGACTTCATGCAAATACATGAGCCTGGATTGATGAAGCTAAAAAATGAAATAGTAGAATTTTCCCAAGTTGAGTTCCTTGAAGCTTTTTGTTCAAATTACTTTCTCATCCAATCTCCTTACTAATTGTAAAAACTGTGAGGTTACAGGATTGGGATATAAATTAACAGTAAATGTATGTTTTATTTGCTTATTGATTTATTTTTATTTCATTTCATATTCCAGTCACAGTTCTTCCTACAATCTCTTCTCCCACTCCCCACCTCTTCCCCAGCCTTCCTTTCTGCCCCACTCACTCCTTCCAAAGGGTAAGGGCTCCCAGGAGGAGTCAGCGAAGTCTGGTACCTTAAGTTGGGGCAGGGCCAAAGTCAGATGCCCCTGCTTAATGCTGAAAATGGGAAATTCCCAAAAATTCACAAGGATGATCCCAACTAAGGCCCCTAGTGCTGGTGGAGAATGGATATTTTCTTAAATAAATCTTCAAAGATTTAAGATCATATCTGTGCTCTATCATTATTTTGAAACCCTAATATCAAGAGTAATTTCACAGAGACACATCACAGCATGTCCCCCAATTAGAGCCCAGAGTATAAAATTAATATGGACAAAACTACTTTTCAAAATCCAAAAGATGATTTTATTTTCTAATAGTATTTACAATGTGTTTCAAATGACTTTTGGCTCTTATTTTCACTTGTCGTCAAAGAGACAATTTAAAGTCTGTCATGATGACAATGTTAGTCCATATGGGGATTTTGAGAATTCAGATACTTAGCAAAGGGCTTTATGCTTAAAAAGTCACAATGCATATGTGTGTTTCTGTGGCATATATATGGTGTGTGTGTGTGTGTGTGTGTGTGTGTGTGTGTGTTTGTGTGTTCATGTACCTATGTAGGCAAAATATCGGAAGAGAACTTGGGGTGAGTTCTGCTTTATCACACTCCAGCTTATTCCCTTGAACAGGATCTACTGAACCCAGATTTACACTGGTGTCCACCAAGTCCCAATAGTCTTTCTTCCTTTACCCCCTGAAGTTAGGTTCTAGAAATGTATTTGAACAACAAGTGCTCTTAGCCACTGCACCGTCCTCATACTCCCAAAGATGGCTGTTGTTGTTACTATTATTATTATTTTATTACTTCCACAGAACACTACTCATCACAACGGAGGGTAAGGGAGTCTGACAGTGTTAACCATAAGTCTCCATCACTTTCTTAATCTAAAGTAATTCTGTAAAAAATTCCTATTTCCTTGCCATTATCTGGAAGGCTAGTGTAGACCTTTGTTGTAATTTAAGAAAAGGGGCTTGAGAGAGAAAGACGCCGTGCGACAGGGTTAAAGCAGAGAGAGGAGTTTCTTATTAGGGAAAGGGACATAAAAATGGGAAAGGGGGCTGGGTGTTGGTGGCTTACTTCTTTAATTCCAACACTTGGGAGGCAGAGGCAAGCTGATCTCTGTGTGTTCGAGGCCAGCCTGTTCTATGGAGTGAGTGCCAGGCTCCGAAGCCACACAGAGAAACCCTGTCTTGAAAAAACAAAAAAAGGGGAGAGGGAAGGGGGGAAACTGGCCTCTGGGGATGGGAGCAGCAGGACAGAGGAAGGGAGGACAGAGAGACAGAAAGGGGGAGAGAAAGAAAAAGAGAAGGATGGGAGGTGGGCAGGGCCCTTTTAAAAGGTGGTGCTCTTATTGGCTGCAGCTGGAGACCTATCCTGTCAAAACTCCAAGGGCAAGACAGTCAAGATACCTGAATTACTAACAATCTTTGCTACTGAACATAAGGCTTAAGAGCACTGTGAACTTTTTCCTCTTCCAATACCTAAATCATCTATAATTGAGATGAAGTTTTATCCTCACTATGCAAGGACATGCCTCAAAAACAACACAGTATATGAACACAATGATGAACTTCTTAATGAGGTAATTCAGTCTGTGTATTTTCTGCTTGAAAGAGTTCTTTAGAGAAGTAAAAGTTAACCAAATGGATAGCTACTAATAGAGCCATAACCTAGCAACACCAGAGTTAAAAGAATTTATTGAAACTCTGCAGTTCTCACTTGCCAGCCTGGATTAAGCATTTAGAGTAATACCCACCACATCATTAACTCTGACCCTTCATTAGAAACATAAAGCACAAGTTGTCCTGCTTCCATTTATTTTAAAAATCAATAAAAATTGATCATCTCCATATTTAACTTATGGAGGCAGTCTTTGACAATTAGTGCTATACTTGAATATATATTGGATGAGCCTACACACTAAACTACTCTGTCTCCATGTCTTCTTCCAGTAAATGGGCACATGGATATATCATGGTGTTATTATGACAAAACAAGATATCGCTAGAGTAGGGAATCTATGAAACGTCTCAGTATAAAATTATCAGCCAATAAATGTTTGGTCTTCTTATTAAAACCTGGTATCTTGCTGAGGTACTCAAGTCCACAAGGTTAAGTAATAATGAAAAATGCCAGAGTCCATTGGCAAAGTCTGAACGTATCAACCAAGTGTTAACTTTTCCATCTGTGGAAAAGCTCTCCTTGCTACAATATACATCCTGAAACTACTTACTAAGAAACAACGAAGTGGAGACCAGGTCACTTTCCCTGGAGAACACTTGGGAAATGCTGAGCCCAAATGGTTGCTAGACATCATGATAAATCCTTATCCACGTTTGAAAAGTAGACTCTCAGTGTCCTAACCTTGCTTCGCAACACTTCACCGGTTTGGAAATGGTGGAACATTTTGTAGACACAGATGGCGAGAAGTGAAAATCAAATGCAACGATTCTTGAAGCATCTTCAGATAGATGTAATATTCAGTGTGACCAAGCATTCCTTTCCTCCCTGGGACTCCCTCCCTCCTTCCTCACCTTCTAGTCTTCCTTAAGGAGCTGGCCACCTCGGGGCGCTGGTTCCAGAGGAGCTCAGGAGGCAAGGGCGGGGGCGTTAACTCTGCGGAATCCTGAGGCCAGGAGCTAGGATGCGGGTAGAGGCGGAGGCAGAGGCAGAGCTTGGCAGCAAAAGCAGACTAAGATCTGCGCTGTGAGCAGTTTCCCTTCCTGAAGAAGAGTGAAGTCAGAATTCTCAAGTGTACACCAGAACGTTTCAAGAAAGCCTCATGATCAGCTGCACTGGCTGAGCTACTCCCAGGTGTGCCGGAAGTTGCAGGTGAGTCGCTCTCCTTCCTGCCCACCCTACCAGCCCTGTGACCAACAGGTTGGCTGGGGATGCAGCTCCAAGAGGCCGGTAGGTGCTCCGCTGATGTCAGCTGACCTCTTGAACTTGGCTTCTCCTTTAACCGCGGGGTCGCTGTTATTTAAACCCTTGCCTCAGCCCACGCTTGTTCTATGCCTTGTCTTTCCTCCTTCCCCCTTTTCCTAAAGTGAGCGCTCCCCTTTGTGTTAAAGAGCGCGCCCAGATTGCCACTTCTGTCGAAACTTAGCAAGTGTGCAGAGTGTCCCCCGAGCTCAGGGGCACCCGGGTAGACTTAGGGACCAACTGGAAAGTCAACTCACAGCATTCATAGCCTTGTTTTTCAGCTAGGAGCTCGAAAACTCAGGGAGGTGAGAAGAAAATCTAGCATGAGTGACAGATGGGAACCAGAGAGAATTGGGGGGAAGTCCTGAGCCCCGTACCCTAGACATGTTTCCCCCAGGAGTTCACAGCCCTAAAGAACATCGCAGGGTGAATACCTTACAATAGAAGAGGGACGGTTATAATAAACCCTCCAGTTAGGACTCAGATCCTGCTATCGCCGCCTGTTTCAGAACTTTTAGTCTGCAACTGGGCCATAAGGAGGGTCACAGTCCCGCGCCCTAGCACCCCAGAGAGCGTGTCTCTCTCTGCTTGTGCCCCCCCAGATCTCCCCATTCCCTCCCTGTCAGCTCCTCCTATACACTGTGTAGGCTGGGGGGAATCTCAATTCCAAAGCTGAGAGAAAGCTCTGTCTGTTTCTAGGAAGGGCCACCGGGACAGGCTGTGTGTCCTGGGCCTGTGTCCTCCCTGGACGACACATGACTGCCTGACCGGCTCCCTGTGCGCGCGCGACCACTCCTGCTCTCCCAGCCTCCTCGCTCTACCGCGCACTCGCAGCTCCCTAGCGACACCAGCCATCAAGCTGGGGATTGGGGGGTGGGGGGGTGGAGGGAGTCGGGGTGCGCAAGTGGGAGGCCTCTCCCTCGGGAGCCTGGGAGATCCCTGCCGCCAGCAGGGGCCGTGCCACCGCCCTCGCGGGAACCCCAGCTTTGCCCCGGAGCCTTGGCACTTTGGTGGTGCTCGCAGACCAAGGCGGTCGGGATGGATCTGTCACCCCGCAACCGGCCGCTGCTGGAGTCGTCGTCGCTGGACAGCGGCGGCTCCCTGAGCTCGCTGGACTCCAGCGTCTTCTGCAGCGAGGGCGAAGGGGAACCCTTGGCTCTGGGGGACTGCCTCACGGTCAACGTGGGCGGCAGCCGCTTCGTGCTCTCGCAGCAAGCTCTGTCCTGCTTCCCGCACACGCGCCTGGGCAAGCTGGCCGTGGTGGTGGCCTCCTACCGCCGCCTGGGAGCCCTGGCTGCCGCCCCCAGCCCCCTGGAGCTCTGCGATGATGCCAACCCGGTGGACAACGAGTACTTCTTCGACCGCAGCTCCCAGGCGTTCCGCTATGTCCTGCACTACTACCGCACGGGTCGCCTGCACGTCATGGAGCAGCTGTGCGCTCTCTCCTTCCTTCAGGAGATCCAGTATTGGGGCATCGACGAACTCAGCATCGACTCCTGCTGCAGGGACAGGTACCCACGGGGCGAGGTGGTTGGGTGGGAAAACGGGAGAGGGGGACAAGAAGAAGGCAGGGATAAAGACTTGAGGGTTTGTGTAAACAGGTGCTCCATCCTGTCTTGCAAACAGAGGTGTCCGCCTCTTGACTGGAAGGTATGGCGTTTGTGTGAGTCTAGAAATGAATCCTAAAGTCAACTTGTGAATGGCACTTGAAAAGGAAAGCAAATATAACAACGACAAAAACAAGAACAACAACAAAAAAACTTCTGGCCCCATTTCTTCCAGAAACTAATATTCTGGTTTCTTGGGGGAAGAACAGACTGATCAGACTTTAAATAAACATCTGGTAATTAAGTGAGTCAGGAAAAAAAAAGAAAGAAAGAAAAACTGTGCCTCAAAAGATACATACGAATGGAAGGTTTTCGGTTATTATCCTTCATCAAATCAGAACTTTAACTGTGAAAAACTTGCTTGGAGGACCTCTTCAGGCCCTTAAGGTTATATATAGGTTGTGACACTGACTTACTGTTGACCTGTCACTGCTATGACTCCTTCATGGATGTTTTTTCTTTTATATACACAAATGTTCCAGGTGGCAAACAGATGTTCTTGTCACCAGACTATAAGTCACAAAACCTCATTGATCCAAAACTGCTTGCTTAAGTGTAAATCCTACGTGCATAAATTTGTACTAGGAAATTATCATTTAAAAAGTCAAAAGTGGGAAATCTGGCGGGGAGCACCCCGGGTAAAATATGAGTATAAATTTCTATACTTTATCCATATGTAAGTGTGACCTCTCTGTAAAACTTAATTCTCTTTTTACGTCTGTGCGTGTTTTCTAAATTAACCACAAAGTTGTCTTCCCTGAAAGATACTTCAGAAGAAAGGAGCTGAGCGAAACGCTGGACTTTAAGAAGGACACAGATGACCAGGAAAGTCAACATGAGAGTGAACAGGACTTCTCCCAGGGACCTTGTCCCACGGTCCGCCAAAAGCTCTGGGACATCCTGGAGAAACCTGGGTCTTCCACAGCAGCCAGGATCTTTGGAGTCATCTCCATCATTTTTGTGGCAGTGTCCATCGTCAACATGGCCCTGATGTCAGCTGAGTTAAGCTGGCTCAACCTGCAGCTCCTGGAGATCTTGGAGTACGTGTGTATCAGCTGGTTCACCGGGGAGTTCATCCTGCGCTTCCTGTGCGTGAAGGACAGGTGCCGCTTCCTGCGGAAGGTGCCCAACATTATAGACCTCCTTGCCATCTTGCCGTTCTACATAACTCTTCTGGTGGAAAGCCTGAGCGGCAGCCACACCACACAGGAGCTGGAAAACGTAGGGCGCCTGGTTCAGGTTTTGAGGCTCCTCAGGGCTCTTCGCATGCTAAAGCTGGGAAGGCATTCCACAGGTACTCATATTTCCATCGATGCCTTTTCATGTCCCTTTGCTTAAAAGCTTTCATCCCAGCACTTTCGAGGCAGAGGCGGGCAGATCTCTGTGAGTTCAAAGCCAACCTGGTCTACAAAGCAAGTTCCAGGACAGACAGGACGGTTACACAGAGAAACCTTGTCTCGAAACCCCTCTACCCAGAAAGCCAAACACACAAACAAAACCCTTAGATATATGAACATATCAATGACTTCCAGTCTGCCCACCCCTCACCTCTTCAAAACTGCTAGAAAGCAAAATCTTCAAGATGTTATCAGAGGTGGAGAGCTATCTCTCACACATTTTCTGTCTTCAAGGCATTGTGGAACCATGTGATCATCTTTTAACTTTAGCTTATTATAACTCAGTGCCACATATATATTCTTGTCAAAGGTCAAACATAAAACATACTTAAGTGGCATATAAATTATATACCATATATAGGGCCATAAGCTATTTTGTCTTCGATTTTCAAGAAAGAAATATATATAGTTTTATTCTTGACTAGAGAAAGGAGTTTTTCTTATTCATGGCAGACAAGAGATGGCCAGGTGTTGATGATCTTCCTCCAATTTTTAATTAATAAATAGAATCATTTTGCTTTGGAAGGAAGAGATGCCAAAAACTAAATGCATTACTTAGTATTTGAGAATTTTTTCAAACTTTGAAAAATCAAATGAACATTCCTAAAGAAAAAAATGCACAACCCAGAGGTGGGAGGGAGAATAACCTGTCCTTGAAAATGAGAGCCAATGCCAATGGAAATTGACTAGGGTAATTAAAAATAATTGTTCTATTCTGAAAGGAATAATGCTCAGTAGTTGGTTTTTTGTCTGTTGAATATTCTAGGGTTATTAGAACTTAAAAAATGAGACTATTCCCACAAGTTTTTTGAAATGTAAATATTCAATTCCAGCTGTCAGAATGTAAACTTTTAGTACATAGATTACTTTCTGGACCATGCACTTTAATAAGTATGCAATTATTTTTGAGCTAAATAATTTTGGAGCCATATATGTTTTTGAGAATCCCTGGGGCAGCATACATAACAATACAATACAAATGTATATACACACAAACAGTTGTGCTTACAGAGTACTACTGCCATGAATGTCCACAGAGATAGATTTAAATGACCACTATAAGAGTGGTAGTAGTTATGTCTGCCTATTAACATGGGAAGAAATTAGCCTACCATTTCTTTTCCTACATCTCTGTAATTAAGAGTCACCCTACAAAATTCTAGTCCTGTATTTTCCTAGCCAGTCTTACATGCCACAGATCTGATGATGGGGTTTCCAAGAACTTATACAAGTAACACTCTTTGTTTCCTGACACAGATAATGGGATGTTCTCTTTGAGTATTTATAAACTCTTCCCAGGATTCAGCTTATAAGCACTGAGAGCTACATTTTTTCCCAAAAGAAGAAAAAGGGAAATAATAGTAATTTTCACAGCGTTACCCTTACAAAGTTTTCTCAGTTCTAAAACAAGTACAACGTATTAGCAAAGCCTTAATTTATTTAAAGTGTATGATAAATATATAAATATTTGATAGTTTTGTGTCAAGTACAGCATTGAGTAGATATATCCACAGGCATCATAAGCCCCCACATATTTGGAACATTTGTTGAGAGATATTGTATAATAATGGATAGGATCCCTGACAGTCTTGGTACAAATCTGGGCTTTGTAACTTTGGACTAGATAGAGCCCTGTGGATGTCAAACTCCTCATCTGTAAAATGACACACAACAGTGACAACATCTCTCACATGGTATTCATAAAGAGTGTTTAAATTCAGTTATGTGAATGATAATTTATCTTTAAGTGAAATCAGTTGTTCTAAACACTATACTTATGTCAATTTATTCTGCAAAAACACATTAAAGAAAATTTAATATCATCAAGTTATACTGGATAGTCTTTTGAAGTTAAACTTCAAAGTTAATTTGCATTGCTCTTCGAAAACAGGTGATAATAAGACCAAGATAAGTAGATTACAGATAGTATTATAATACATTTCAAATCATCTCTAAGGGTGAATTAAAATAAAAAATATTCTTTTTATTGATTTGGGCTTTTGAGGCAATTTATTTGTACTGTCATATTGGTATGACTTCAAAAGACAAACTTAGAATCATTTTTCTAACCTTGGAAAAGGTATTTCATTGGTGAGTTCAAGTCCTGGTTTATAATGGGTTCTCGTTGCTCTCTTTAGCACTTAGGCTTTTTATAGGTGTTAGACGGCTTCTGTAGGTCTGTACCTCCTCATGGTTGGTAAATTTCGCCAGTCCTTCCATTCCTATGCATTTTTGCAATGAAAGAAGATCTTGGTTAGTTTTTATCTTCTATGGTCAAAGGAGATAAGGACCAGAATTTTTTAATGGGTACTCTGGGAATTCTAGAACCTTCTATTAAACACTTGTAAGAATGTCCTCTTGATAAGCATTTGATGTCTATGTTGTTACTAGTGCCTTATTTACTCCTGCCTGTTCACATAATTGCCATGGAATATACACATCCTCTCTGGTTTGCAGCCAATGAAGCATCTGATTGCTTTAATCTTTATCACGATTAAGAAAATAAGAGGCAAAAATACATGAGAGCAACATCAAAATGAAGATAAAAAGGAGTGTTGAAATGATATATCGAAAGGCAGCTTTGATCATATGAGCCCTCCACGTACATCCCTGCAAAGGACTTCAGTTATGGGAAGTGATAAGCTCTGTAAGACGGCCTCTGTCTATATCCTTCAGTCTCATTTGTTTTGACATTAAAAAGACAGAAATAGCATGAACTCAATGATTACAGGAGTAAATGAATGAATATAGTTACATTTCTCTTTAGTCTTCAAACCTGGCCCCACCAACCAGCATATAAGCTTCCAGAAAAACAGAGGTCATGACGTAGTCTTCATTGTATCCCCCAGAACATTGCTCAGAATATTAGTTATGCAGAACATGCTTGAGGGCGGATAGTAGGAAGGGACAGGAGAGGAGAGAAGGGATGCTCATATCTGACAACATCTCTTCTCTTGCAGGATTGCGCTCACTTGGGATGACGATCACCCAGTGCTATGAAGAAGTTGGCCTACTTCTCCTCTTTCTGTCTGTGGGGATTTCTATATTCTCAACAATAGAATACTTTGCGGAGCAAAGCATTCCTGACACAACCTTCACAAGTGTTCCCTGTGCATGGTGGTGGGCCACAACGTCAATGACTACGGTAGGCTATGGGGACATTAGACCAGACACCACCACAGGCAAAATCGTGGCCTTCATGTGCATTCTGTCAGGAATCTTGGTCTTGGCCTTGCCTATCGCCATCATCAACGATCGCTTCTCTGCCTGCTACTTCACCTTGAAACTCAAGGAAGCTGCCGTGAGACAGCGTGAAGCTCTCAAGAAACTCACCAAGAACATCGCCACTGACTCGTATATCAGTGTTAACTTGAGAGATGTCTATGCCAGGAGCATCATGGAGATGCTCCGATTAAAGGGCAGGGAGAGAGCAAGTACCAGAAGCAGTGGTGGAGATGATTTCTGGTTTTAAATTTACCTTCTACTTATTTATAGAACCTATGCCCATGTGACTGGACTGCTGAAGCCTTGCTTCTGTGGATGAGTTTCCTGAACACTTCTCATCCTCTTCCCGGTGTATTGATTTTCTCCGAATACTAAACATCTCCTTAGCAACTACTGATTATTTTGACACACCTATCTTCAACATAGCTAATTAATACAACCAAAATCATTTGGGAAAAGAACCACATGTCTGGATTTTCAAATATTAATTAATATAATTTCATACATCAAAGTTTAAAGACCCATTAATTAATATAATTTCATACATCAAAGTTTAAAGACCCATGTGTCATTGTTTTTAGGTTTTCCCACCTTTGCATTTTTTTTTTACTGGAAATTGAACTGAACAGCCCAGAGTGGGGGGGGGGAATGAGTGAATGTTTAAAAATATACTGAACATCTTTTTGCTATTTAGAAAATATTCTCCAAATAGATTACCTTTTTCTCTATAAATTAAAGCTGTTGAGTATAACGATAGGCTTTGCAAGCAAACACTCAACCTTGGTGGTTATAGAGGGTACCTCATCTTCCATCAAGTGCTAATCACTGGGCCCAAATGGACAGGGCTCTGCCTTTCACCACTCCAGTTGCAAGGGACCTCAGACTGCTCAGAGTGCAGTAGGTGAGGCTTCAAGTGCCTAGAAAGCTTCATCATCCCAGTTAAGTGCGATGTGTAAAGAAGAAAGCAGCATAGTCATTTGTGAAAAGTAGATGGCTTGTAAAATGTCTCATTACAGATGAATTATTTAAGTTATGCCTTCAAAATCATGAAATCATGAATATGGAAAAGTGAAGTCGTTAAGATCCTAACTTTATTCATTGAAAAGATTGGATAGTCTTTTTATAAGCGAAAATATGTTGAAAGGTATCGTTAGATGAACTTGAAGATCTTTTTATTTGTTAAAAAATATTGTGGAAAGCTTTCTGATTGTGGAGGTAAATAACAAATGTTCAGACTTTGCAGGTGCTTTGACAGTGTTTATGGTAATAATACGATGCCTAAATGATGTGGCATATAATTAAAGCCAAAAGTTTTAAAGCTAAGAAATAACCCTGGTTCTAATATAATAGTAAGTAATATTTTCAAAAGTCTAACAAAGGATTCCCTCATTGCCTACTTTCTTGATGTATGCAATAAAGTTCCTAAAGAAAATAAAATTGGTTCTGGGATAGAAATCTTACTCTTCCTGTTTATAAGACAAATATACATGAAATACATATGCATACATATGGAATAACTACAATATCAAAGCTTCATGGGAGATAGAATTAGGACAAAACAAATGATATCCTGCTGAAGTAGGTGGTAATGGGCATGTAAGGAACTTTTGCTTTGGGTCCTGGGGTGGTAATGCAAATCCATAATTCCAGTACGGGGAAGCCGAAACAGAAGAAACATAAGCTTGGAGCTAGCATGGACTGTATAGCAAGTTCAAGGTCAACTTGGACCACATAGCAAGTTCAAGGACACCTGGAAGGCAGGGTAACACCCTGTTTCAAAAAGAGAAAAAGATAGCCCTTTGTCTTAATACATGGCTTGATCACTTGTAGCATGCTGTTTATTATGTGGCTACCTATTTCACCAACAGTATTTAAGGCATCCTACTATATTAGAAAACTACCTGTCAAGCAAGAAAGTGCCAATTGATTTTAAATATGCAAGGTAAGGTGCCATTGATTTTAAATATGTTCCTATTTTAGATATATAAAATTTAATGCCACAGAAGCATGCTTAAATTTAGATGCCATGAGTTTTAAATTACATCCTTAGGTTCTTTAATTTACTTGACTTGTTTGTGCTTCTCCTGAATACTATAAGAAAATTACAAAAAAGTGAGTAATATTAAAAATAAATGTCCTTTATTTTAAAGACCAGTTTTTACTATGTAGCCCAGCTAGCCTGGAGCTCACAATGCAGACCAGATTGTCCTCAGACTCACACAGGTTTGCCTCCCTCTGCTTCCCAAGTGCTGGGATTAAATTCATACACCACCACATCCAACAATATTTATCTTACAAAAAGCCATGAACCCTAGAGCAAGTCTGGGCACTGCCGGCCACAACATAAATCAGTCCATTGCCTAAATGTGCGATAAATGTCAGAGACAGAAAACAAATTTACTCTGAGATTTCTAGAAATTTCTCTAGTAAAAATTGTTGCTGAAGTATAATCTGTAGGTTTCCTCTATACCTCAATTATATAATTACTGTTTTTGTATCTCCTAAAATATTTTTAAAATTTAGAATAGATTTTATTTAGATAATATATTCTGATCATGGTTTTCTCTCCCCCAGCTCATTGGAGATCCTCCTCACCCTCCTCCCATCCAAATCCACACCATTTCTGCTCTCCCTTAGAAAGTAAATGGGCATATAAAGAATAATAATAAAATAATATTTTAAAAAAACAACAAGACAATGGGCAGTGGTGGCGCAAGCCTCTAATTCCAGCACTCGGGAGGCAGAGGCAGGCGGATCTCTGTGAGTTCGAGACCATCCTGGTCTATAAGGGTTAGTTCCAGGACAGGCACCAAAGCCACAGAGAAACCCTGTCTCAAAAAACAACAACAACAACAACAAATAAGAGTAGGATAAAACAAACAAGAAATGAGCTGAAAACAACAACAGCAACAACAGCAAAACAAACATGCCACAGGAAACACACACACACACACAAAACCACTCCTGGCATCAAAACACAAAAGCAGAATCCATAACATATACACAAAGTATCCCTAAGGTCACCAAAAAAAAAAAAAAAAAAAGAATCCCTTCACAGGACATTATGAGACAAAGAACCTCCAAGGGTATTACTTAATTTTGTTTTGTGTTTGCTATCTACTGCTGGGCCTTGGGTTTGTTTCTCCAGTGAGACTCCAACGGAGAGAACTGGTTTTTCATGTGGGTGGCCATCAGTTAGTGATAGCTTCTGGGTTAGCAATGGGGCATGTTTTAAATTGGCCTCTTGGCTCTGGGAGGGACCCCATCAGGTGCAGACCCAGGTGGGCTCTGTGCAGGCACACTGTCACAGTGTCTGTGAATTCATATGCATGGGTCCTACTGTGTCAACAGGCCATGGGTCCTCCATCTCTTCTGACTCTTACACTCTTTCTGCCTCTTTTTCCACGTGGTGCTCTGAGCCCTGAGGGGAGGAAGCTTCTCTGAGGATGGCTGAGCAAGGCACAGATCTATGAATAAAACAGAATGTCATTGGGTGTCTTTATTTGTTCTACATTCCTTAAGGAAAACGGTAGTATTCGCTGTTCCCCTTAGGTGTCTGAGCTATTAGTCTCATGATCTTTGGCCACCCCGGCAGTGTTGCGGATGGCTTCTATCTCATGCAGTAGGTGTTGAGTCAAGGCAGGTGTGGTTGGTTGCTCTTAAGCTGTGTGCCACTACTGCAGTGGCATACCTTGAAGCAGGTCACCATTGTACATTGAAGGCCTTGTAGCTAGGTTGATGCTTACCTTTTTGCCCCTTTGGTAGTACACAGAGTATGCTGGTGCTTAGTGGTAAAGGCTCTAGGTAGGAAGCATCTTGACTTTGCTGTGTTCAATGAATTGTTGTTTTCGGCAATACGGATGGCCTTACTGTCATTTTGTGGAGAGCAGTCAATAGTCTGTGTTATTGGAGGTTCCCATGGGGTCCCTTTAGCCTACATTAGATTAGATATAATCCGTTCCTGCCTCCATTTACTGATGAGAGATGTCTAGTCAGGGCTCCCTCCCTCCCCTCGTCTGGTCCTCCCATTTCTGCTCCACCCAGTCCATCCATAACTACCTATTCTATTTACCCTTACTAGGAAGATGCAACCCTTCCACCTAGTCCCTTATTTTATACCTGTTTATCAATTCAACACATGTTTAATTAAAAATCCTGTGAGTATTGAGCACTAGAGATCATTGGCTAATCAAGAACACATCCTGTTCTCTTATATTTAATATCCTATCCAAGGACATGTGGGAAAGACAAATGACAAAAATGACAAAAAATTGGGAGACCAGAACTTACCTATACCACACAAACATCAAATGGCAAAGTCAGGGAAACATTAATCTACCTGACTCTGAAAAAACTTGTCCTAAAATCTCATTCATATTTTTCCCATATGTTCACTGAGCCTTAAGAGAAATATTGCAGATATGGGATTGTGTTCGAGAAAACAGTTGTAGGAGAATTCATAGCTTTGATAGCACAAATATTAACTGTCTTTAGAATAATCAAGAGTTGAAATCTTATTATATTTTATTATAAAAATATATGTATATGCCAATACATATATCAACTTACATGAACAGAGAACATCCTAAAATATTTTCTACAAGTATGATTTACTAACTATATAAATTTGGTCAAGACACAGATATTTCTAAAAATATTTAAAAGTTTAAGATAATTCATAATACAATTGCTAAAGTGAATCTTGTATCTTATAAAATACCAGTGTATTTATTCAGTGAATATACATATAAGCAAACATGCTTTAACTTTAAGATAAACCAAATGAGAACTCTATTCTATCTGCATAATTGTGGAAACATTTGGCGTTCTTCAAAAATTTATGAATTATTGCTATAAAACAATATGGAATTTATTTAGAAATCATAAATAAATAAATTATTGTCTTTCTTTAAGCTATTTGGGGAACACAAATTAAAAACATTTCAGGGACCAGTGTTGAGGGAAACCTTTTCCATGCCAGCTGCTTTGGTTTTTCCCCACCAGTCACCTGGGCTCTGCCACATTGTAGTCCCCAAATAATACACAAGACGCTGTATTAATTATGAAGCTGTTGGCCTTGCTTGTTTCTTACTAGCTAGCTCTGACTTAAGTATTTATCCCATAATTGTTAATCTAAGTATTTCCTTACTGGAGGAAAGGGTCCGGACTTCTTACCCCTATGGCAGCTACATGATGTCTCTCTGTGTTTCTCCTTCCCAGAGTCCTCCTCGACTCCTAGTCCCACCTATCTTGCTTCCCTATTAACCAACAGTGCTTTATTGACATATACACAGGACTTCCCCATTAGACCAGTTGGATGGCTCAGCGGTTATATATATTTGCTGCCAAAACCAATGACCTAAGTTGAAGACTCTGGTACCCTGATGACATAAGGAAAGAACTGACCCCTAAAGGTTGTGTTCTTATATCCATCAACACTCCTGTGTCAGTCTTGTGTCATCCTCATGATGGGGGAAGTCCTTCTGTGTTATGTTGTCCTATTGGTTGATAAATAAAGCACTGTTGGCCAATAGGGAAATAAGATAGATGGGCCTAGGAGTCGAGGAGGATTCTGGGAAATGTAGTCCAAAGTAGAGGGTCACCATGTGATCCCAGGAGGAGAGGGAGGAAAGGACATAAGTCTGGCCTTCTCAGTAAGATAAGACCTTATAAAAATATGTATTAGTAATTATGGGTAAATAGTTAAGTCAGCTATCCATGAAGAAATTTTGCCAACAGCCAATAGCTTCATAATTAATACAGCGTCCTGCATGTTCATTTGGGACTGATGTGACTCAGGAACCAGGCTGGAGGGAAGAATATAGTTACACACCCACACTAAATAAAATTCAGCAAAAACTTTGAATGCACCCAGTGAAATGATTAAACTTAGCAAAAAGCAATTGTACTACCTATCAGGAGTCACATCAAATTCCTGTTTTGTTGTTTCTCTCATATATGTACAAATATATACAAGGGGTGGTTTGCTGATCATTTTAATGTATAAGAGTGACATAAGGAATGTAGAATTCCCAAGGAGCTCAAAAAGATCAAAACCTTTGCTCTGCAAAAGTTTTGTTCCCATTATAATCCTTTGACTAGCTCTTACAGAAAATGGGTAGGCTAATTCAAGCTGCCTCAACAAATCATTGTCTTGAGGTAAGTTTATTTCATTAACATGAAAATCCTGGTCCTCTGAAACATCAGGCATTAATTTTCATCTTATCAGTTCTTCAGTTTCAGTCCAAGAATTATTGGCTGACAAATGCTGCCTCCCTTAATGTCAGCCATTTACACTGACCGTTGGTGGTGCACACCTTTAATCCCAGCACTTGAGAGGCAGAGGCAGGAGGATCTCTGTGAGTTTGAGGCCAGCCTGATCTACAGAATGAGTGCCAAGATAGGCTCCAAAGTTACACAGAGAAAGCCTGTCTTGAAAAACAAAACAAACAAAC